TTTTATTTTATTTTATTTTATTTTATTTTATTTTATTTTATGCAGAATACAACATTTGTGCAACCAATATGGGAAATTGTACCTTGAAAATATTTTATACACTACTGTTGAAACTGTATTTTACTGTATTTATTTATTTATTTATTCAATACAGTAATACTTTTTCAGCAAGGATGCATTCATTTTTTTAAAGCCAGACTTTAAAAAAAATGATATTTCATTTTTATTCATCACTTTATTCATCAAAGAATCCTGCAAAATGGAACATTGTGTCGACAAAAATGAGGTGAACAATGTTCAGTATTCAGTGATGTCAAAATAAATAAATGAAAATCTTATTGCAGCTTTTGCTTGATGGTTACACCAAATGAGCCATTAAATTGAAACTTTTCCTGAAAATGGCTTAAAAGCTTGAAACCAACCTGAGTACAAAGAGTATGTTTCTAAGAACTTTGCACACTCTTACACGTAACTGACCCAAACACATTAAGAGTTGGAGTCAGGGGCTCGGCTGATCTCTGCAATAAAGAATAATGTTCTTGCCTGTGTGTTCTCCCCTGATATTTCTAACGGAGCGCTGCTGAAGTGCTTTTGAAGGTAGAGAGCGTGAGTTGAATTCTGAAACAGGGCTGTCTAAAAAGCTGCTCAACACAAAAAGTGCCACACTCAATAGGTCTCAATGAAACATGAGCAAAACAAATTTTTCGGTGAAAATCACTCACAAAATTGCTCTTGCGTGAATTGTTGCATTTTACTTAATGCAGCAATTTATGTAAGAATGGTTTTACGAACGATTTAGGCAGAAATCCGTTCTGCTCATGTTTCATGAATGAGGCCCATTGTTACACAAGAAAGTAGACTGTCAGCCCTCTGAGATTGTTTTCAATGTACAAAATAACAGTTTTTCAGAAAAAAATAATATAATTTTGGTCTGTTTCTCACATAAAACCATCTTGTGACTCATACACTCTCAGATAAAAAGGTACAAAATCTGTCACTGGGGCGGTACCTTTTCAAAAGGCACACCTTTGTACCTAAACAGTCCATATTGGTACCTTAAAGGTACATATTAGTACCTTAAGTGTACATATTATAACCTAAAAGGTACAAAAGTGCACCTTTTGAAAAGGTACTGCCCCAGTGACAGCTTTTGTAACTTTTTTTCTGAGAGTGTATGGGACTCTTTTATGATCATTTTCTGTGTCCTTTGTTCATTGCAATAGCTTGAAAAAGTAGCAACCAGTACATTTAACAAAATATATCCTTTTTGTGTTCTACAGAAGAGTGAAAGTCATACAGATTTGGAACTACATGAGAGTGCGGAAATTAAATTTTTGGATGAAGTATCCCTTTAAGCAATTTTGCCTTCATGATTCCATCAGAATGAAATGTATTAGAGTTTTCATAGATTTTTTGGGTTAACTCACTGTCCTTCACTAAAAATAGAAATAGCACATAGGTTTGCATCACTGATTCTGTAACTGTGCGCCTATAGGTTACCTCATTAAGAAAACGTGTTTTTTATTACTTGATTAGAATACAGGTTGGTAGTCTCACACCAGATCTACTCAAGCAGGTACAGAACGACACTAAAAATAGATATTTTGAAAGGCTGAACCTTTAGGTAACGAGGTTACTGCTGCATGGGATAGTTGGTAAAACTTCCAGTGAATGATATTTTAAGGCTCGTATATCATCTATGCCTCATTGCACCAATTTCCCTGTCAGTGGTCTGTTAAATCAACACCTGCTTTTCTAATTGAGAACTTCAGAGCCATATTCACCACCATTACAGCTAATAACTCAAGAAAACACTTAATACAGAAGACACTGCAGCCAACACAGACTTATTTGTGCAAAAAATGTCTCACTAGAGGACACAGCAACCCCTCGATTATGTGAGCTTGTGTACATAAGAGTCATATAGAATTTTAAGATCACATTTTGAAGTGAATCATTAAAGGCCCTCTAACAAGGAAATTCTCCCAGTGTGATTCTCTGATCTTTATGAGTTTTCGCTGTAATTGGATGGGCCAAAAAAAAAAATAAAAAAT